CATTCTACACCAGTCCGGGCTCATTGTGTATCAGTCCGGATCCATGCTTTACCAGTCTGGACCCATTCGAGGATAGTCCGGACTCATTCTGCATCAGTCCGGACCCATGCTGTATCAGCACGACGACCCATTCTACATCAGTCCGGACCCATTCTCTATCAGTCCGAACTAGTGCTGTGCGTCGGATCCGATAATCCGAATCCGATCCGATCGAATCCGATCGGCCATTCGGATCGATTACAATTGGGTTAGAAGAATCGGATTCGGATTCGATTCGGATTCGGATTTCAAAATTTCGTCGGATTCGATCGGAGGTCGGATGTTCAAAAAAATGCTGTCGGATTCGATTCCGGATGCCGGGATCGGGAAGAAGTGTGCGGGTTTGTGTTGTGTGTGTGACAAGAGACGAGAGAGTAGAGAGACCAGAGAGGGCAGTGTGTATGTTCAGAGAGAGAGAGAGAGAGGTGTGCTGTGTGTGTTGCTGTGTTGACAGAGAGAGAAGAGGGTTGCGCTGTTGTGTGTGTGTGTGACAGAGAGAGACGGGAAGGACAGAGAACGAGAGAGGGAGGTGTATGTGTCAGAGATGAGAGAAGAAAAGAGAGAGGTGTGGTGCTGTGCGCGCTGCCGCTGGTGTGTGTGTGTTATGAGAGAAGAGAGAGAGAGAGAACTGAGAGGGAGTGTGTATGAGTCTGAAGAGAGAGAGGTCGCGCGCGCGCGCGCGCGCGAACGACGTCGTGTTTGTGTGTGTGTGTTGTGTCGTGTTGTGAGAGAGAGAGCGAGAGAAAGAGGAGACGTGCTTGTGTGTTTGTGTTGTGTGTGTGGAACACAGAGAGAGAGAGAGAGAGCAAGAGAGGAGAGAGAAGAGAGAGAGAGGAGAGAGAGCCGCGAGGAACAGAGAGGTGTGCTGCGCGTCGTGGTGTGTGCGTGTGTGTGTGTGTGCGTGTGTCGTGTGAGAGAGAGAGAGAGAGAGAGAAGAGAGAGAGAGAGCAGGAGAGAAGAGACGAGAGAAGAGAGAGAGGAAGAGAGAGAGGTGTGCGCGTCGTGTATCGGTGTGCAGTGTGTGGAAGAGAGAGAATGCGGTGCGGTGTTTGTGTTGCTGGTGGCTGTGCGCCGCGCCGGCGCGCGCGCGTGCTGTGTGTGTGTGTGTCGTGTGGTGTGTGCGGTTGTTGTTTGTGTGTGTGTGCGTGTGAGAGAGAGAGAAGAGAGAGAGAGAGAGAGAGAGAGTATGAGAGAGACGAGAGAGAGAGAGAGAGAGGTATGTGCGTGTTTGGGTTGTGTGTGCTGACAGGAGAGAGAACCAGAGGGATGCAAGGCAACTCAGCGTCATAAGCCGTTGACAACGTTGCATGGATTATCCGTTCCAGATCTCCCGATCACCGTTCTCTAACCTTTTCTTACGTCATCACAGATCCCCTTACACCCCATCCCTATCTCAACAACCCAAAGTTGATGTTGAAACAAGGAGTTATAACACGAATTGTACACAATGCGTCAGCACTATTTACAATTTCTATGTCCCCGGATTCGGGCCGGATTTCGGATCGGATTTCGGATCGGATTTAGCGACTACACATCGGATTCGGATCGGATTCGATTCAAAAATTCGCCATCGATTCGGATTCGGATGGGATTCAAAATAGGCCATCGATTCGGATTCGGATTCGGATTTTCAAAATGCTGTCGGACGGAATTTTTGGTCATGTCGATCCGACGCACAGGCACTAGTCCGAACCCTTTACTCACCAGTCCGGACTCGCATTATGTACCAGTCCGGCACATTTATATCAATCCGGCCACCCATTCTAACACCGTGGCCGGACTCATTCTGTTATCAGTCCGCCAATTCTATACCTGTCCGAGGACTTCATTATGTACAGTCCGGAACGCCATTCTGTATCAGTCCGGATGACATTATATATTCAGCCGTTATTATTTTCAATTATATATTAAGGAGGGGCTTCGCGGACCGCGGACCGAATGGATAAAAACCCGGACCGCGGACCACGAGGCTCAGAGGCCGGGTCCAGTCGCGGGTTGTTATGGCTAGAGTTTTCCTGTGCGCCGGACCGCATTCTTACACTCAGTCCGGACAGCTCATTATTTACCAGTCAGGACTCATTTTGCTGCATCAGTCCGGAGCCATGCTGTATCAGAAGCACGTGACAGCGCATTTCAGTCCGGGAACGCCATGCGCTGTAGATCAGTCCGGACCCATGCTGTATCAGTCCGGGACCCAAATTCAACTTCCAGTCCCGTGACTCAATTATGTACCCAGTCCGAACCGCATCTGCATCAGTCCGGTCCCAACGTGCGTGGCGTGGTGTGTGTGTGTGTGTGTGTGTGTGGTTGTGTGGTGTGTGTGTGGTGGTGTTGTGTGTGTGTATGTGCGTGTGTGTGTGTGGTGTGCGTGTGTGTGTGTGTGTTGTGTCGTGTGTGTGTGTGTGTGTGTGTGTGTGTAGTGTGTGTGTGTGGTGTGTGATGCGTTGTTGGCAGTACGTGGCTGCGTTGTGGCGCGCGCGTGTGTGTGTCTGTGTCCGGTACGTGCGTTCGCAGGCGTACGTACGATAAGTAAGGCGAGTGCGTGTGTGTGTGTAGTGTGTGATGCGCGCGTGCGTGGCGTCCACGTGCGGGATTATGCGTTTTTGCGTGGTTTGTGTCGGTGCTATGCGGGGGGGGGGGGCGTTGGCGCGCGTAGTATGTGTGGTGTATCTGTGCGCGCGTGTGCGTTTGTTTTGCGTGTTGTGTGTGTGTGTTGTGTGAGTGTGTGTGTGTGTGTGATGTGTGTGTGTCGCGCTGCGCGCGCGTGTTTGTGTGTGTGTGTGTGCGTGTGGTGTGTGTGTCTGTGTTTGTGGCGTGTACGTGCGTGTGTGTGTGTGTGTGCTGTGTGTTTCGTGCGGTTGGCGCGTGCGTGCGTGCGTGCTTAGTCGCCCGGTGACCGTGTGCGCACGTCGGTGTGTGTGTGCGTGTGTCTGTGGTGGCGCGCATGTGTTTTATGCATCGTGCGTGTGCATGCTGTTGTTGTGTTGTGTATGTGCGTGCGTGCTCGCATGCGCACTGTTGCGTTTTTTGGTGGTTGTGTGTGCCGTGTGTTTCTGGTGCCTGGCGTGCGTGTGGTGTCGCCCGTCGGTGTGTGTGCGCGCGTGCGTGTGTGCGGCGCGTGCGTTCTGTGTGCGTGTGTGTGCTGTGTGGTTTTCTTGTGTTGTGTTGTGTGTCGTGTTGTGTGTGGTGTGGTGTGTGTGTGTGATGTGTGTGTGTGTGTGTGTGTGTGTGTGTGTGTGTGTGTGTGTGTGTGTGTGTGTGTGTGTGTGTGTGTGTGTGTGTGTGTAATCCGGGTCCGAGTTTTATGCAGGTTTTCCGGGTTCTGGTCCGGGGTCCGGGTCTGGGTTTTATGCAGGTTTTCCGGGTCCGGGTCCGGGTCCGGGTCCGGGTTTTATTCACACCCGCCTGTGGGTACGTCGGCCTGGCAGGACAGATATCTAGCAACATTACTGCGTAATAATTCTGACATATTATTTGAACTACTAGAAGAATATAAAAAATATCTAAGATATATTGAAGTGTTACTGGGTTATTTTGACATTTAAAAGCACGACACAAGTAGGTTCGAGTCATTTCGGTATTTGGGAGGGTCCAGGATAGGTAACGTTTCCTTAGACTGGTCCACGCTCGACAGTTCCACTCGCGTTACACTGACTCGTCAGTGTAACGCGAGTGGAACTGTCGAGCGCGGACCAGTCTAACGTTTACTGAGGTTTACATAACTGACGTTACACATAAATATAATTAAAAATACAAGTTTTAATATAAATTTAAAATATTATATATATTTATAAACAAATATAAATATATTATATAATAGTGCTGACCCGTTTTCACGTTTCACTCAATACAGTTATATACCAAAAATCTAAGCAAGTAGACATAGAGAGGCAAACTGAAGGAGAAGCATCTGTTTTATTAGTAGACCTAGTTTCTACATGTACTATTCATTTATAATCTGGTACAAGAATAAAAATCATGACATTTATTGTAAGATTCCATTTCATTGTTGCATTTAAGACTGCCATCGCTTATTGTCATAAGGTGGTTTCGGTTTATAATGAACAATTATAGAATGCGCCGATTCCTGGCTAGTGCCAGTGTCAGTGACAGTGTAGCCCGACCAAACGGTGCGACGGATTGTCTATACATAATGTCCTATACATCCTAACCCTAGCGATACCGTTTCTCGGAGCTAAGTGACAGTGTAGCTCTAGTAGTAGTAGTACTATAGCCCGCGTACGTTGACTGCCGCAGGCGATCAATGTACGCGGGCTATAGTACTAGAGCTAGTGCCAGTGCAACTGTTGAACTGACTTACTACTACTACTACTACTAATACTAATAGGCCTACTGAGTCATTGACTGACTGAGTGTAGCCCCTTCGCTCCCTCTCGTTCAGGCTCTACGGTTAGCGCTGTACTACTACCAGTACCAGTAGCGGAGGCGAAGAGGCTACACTTGTAGAGCTACAAGACACCATTCTGTAGTCAGTAACGGTGGTACTATGTCGCGTCAATCATAAATGTACTATGGAGTATGGTATAAATTTGTGATTGCATAATTTGTGAAGCAGGTTATAATATACAGAGTGGCTAAATGCCCGGCAGCCGGCATATATCTGACGGCTGCCGGGCACGGTGTTCGATTTCTTAAATGCCCGGTAGTTTTTAATTTGGCCCTGGCTACGCGACCGGTTCCGGACGAGAAGCCGCTAGGCTACGCGTCGGGACATCCATCTCACACAGGAGCTTGCGACACGTACACGCATGATTGCGCAAATATTCGATTATATGCGGGCATATATTCCTCGCTTCCCATTGGTCGATTATATGCGGGCATATAATATGTAGTCATGTATTCTTGATTTTTGTCCACTGTGGCCAACCATACGCGTACAGTCGCCGCAGGCCTGCGACAACTGTACGCGGGCTATAGTACTAGAGCTAGGCCCAGCCGTGATCGGTGTACGAGAGACCGGCCGTCGCTCTGTGGCAAGTATCAGTGGCGCCCGCAGATAGAAGCACTGGAAGCGCTTCCAGTAAATTTTTGGTTAAAAAATTTTGTTCCTACATTTTGTTCCTAAATCTCTCTCGCAAGACTCACCAGATTGCATCTCCAGACGTCTACCATCCAAAAATTTTCAGGGGGGCATGCCCCCAGACCCCCCTAGCATGCAGCGCGCCTACGGCGCTTGCTTTTTATTATCACTGAGGATTTTATCCTGCTAGTGGCCAGTATAATCTTGGCGTCGCGATATTGAATGATATTCTCGAGCTAAGGGGTTGTCTGATACATCTATCAAATCCGGATGTTTGAAAGATGCACTGGTTAGAAACGTGTTTTCTCTGGGGTGTTTCTCGCTGCTTCTGTGCATTTCAGCTGCGGTGGTTCCTGGCTCCCACTCCTTTGCCTGTAGTGCATGTAGATGACGCCACACTGCAACACTCCACTCCCAATACCCGTGATTGCACACAGGACGAAAACCGATCTCATGTTTCCAGTTTGGTCCATCAGAAAGCCTGCAGTGAAACCAAACTACATGTTACTGCATGGTTAAGCAGAGAATTGTTCGATAGGTTAAATGATTAACATGTTAATTATGCAAACTCGATCGCTCCTCATTATTTTAGAGCTTCACTGCGTATATACCTGCGACCACTGGTCCAATTAGACCTCCTACGCCCCTGAAGAGACAGTAGATCGACTTCACCATGGGTATATTCTGTATGCCGAAGAGGTCAACCAGAATGCATGTCCGAAGGCTCTGTTTTACTCCATAGCTAGTTCCGTACAGCACACAGCAAAGCGCAAACACCCACAGTTCCGCCGCGAACAGAAACAATAGACTAATAATTCCACACGCCAGAGTCGCAACAGCGTAGACCAGCTGACGCGGGAACCATCGCCTGTCCCCTACGATTGCCACCAGGAAGCGACTCAGGACATTGCTGATGTTTAGCGTGGTCAGCATCAGTGCAGCTGACGCGAGACTCATGCCCTGTCTGGTGCCGTACAAAACCACGAATAATAGCACTATGCTGAGACCAATTCCGTATAGGACGTGACTCAGACAGTGAAGTCCGAATTTCAGCATATCGGTAGCGGGCATCATAAACCAGCGTTTATTTCTGAGTTTCTTTAGTTCTTCCTTTGCTGCTTTTGGTATATCACGCAAGAGGGCGCTAGCTGCTATGGTTTGAAGATACATCCCACCTATAATGATCATCGCACCTTGCCAGGTGTAAAGTTCTAAAATCTTGGCGCACAGTGGAGGACCGGTTAATGCGCCAAGTGCTGATAATGTTTGTATGAGACCTGTTGCCAGTGCGAGTTTCTTGTCAAAATAAAATGCAGTAATGGTTTGTGAAGGTGCGTAAATCATTCCTCTTCCTGTGCCTGCAAATAACCAGATCGAGTTACTGGTTAGTACATCGTTGCAATTTGTATATATTTTCTCACACACTACACATGCCTAGTGACCGTTGATATTTAAAACATAATATAAACATAATATCAGGAGCGTATAATGACAAATATTTGTCATTATACGCTCCTGATAATATATATAGCATGTGCCGTAATTTTCATAAAGCAGATAGAGAAACCATGATTGATTAGAGTAGGCCTACCATATAGTTAAAATATATTATATTTATTTAAAACATTATTTTATTTAAAGAGTGCCATTACGGGAAGCTATGATCATGATGTGGTTTCCTTGCTAGCAATAGCATGTAAAATTACAAATTATACCTGTTGCTTGGAGGGAGCTGCCATCTTGAATATTTCCAGTGGTTTATATTCGGTCCTCCTAAACACCAGAATGCTTCGAAATGACTAGAAATGTCTCAAAAGGTCTCTAAATGAATCACACACAAATCGTACGTCCGTGCGTACACGTGCGTCCGTCCGTGAGTACGCGCGTGCGTACGTAGCTACGTCCGTTCGTGCGTCCGTGCGTTCGTTCGTGCGTGCTTACGTCCGTGCGTGCGTCCGTCCGTCCGTCCGTGCGTACGTGCGCGCGTACGTCCGTGCGTCCGTGCGTGCGAACGTCTGTGGTGCGTGCGTCTGGGCGTCCGTCCGTGCGTGCGTGTGTCCATCCATGCGTGCGTACGTCCGTGCGTGCGTACGTGCATATGCGTACGTGCGTGCCGTACAAATGCGTGCGTGCGTGCGTAGGCCTACGTGAATGCGTGCGTGCGTGCACGTACGTGCTTACGTGAATGCGTGTGTGGGTGCATACCTGTATGCGTGCGTGCCCCGTGCGTGCCTGTGTAGGTAGGCCTACATGCATGCGTGCGTACGTAGGCCTACATGGGTGCGTATATGTACGTACGTGCATGCGTATGTGCGTACGTACGTGTATGGGTCCGTGCGTACCTGCATGCTTGTGTACGAACGTGCGTGCGTGCGTGCGTGCGCGCGTACGTGTATGCGTGCGCGCGTGCGTGCGTCCGTTCGTTCGTGTGTGCGTGCGTGAGCGTGTGGTGTAAGTGTGTCACCCTCACACTTTTTTGAAAAATCAGTTACTTCTGGCCCCCTCTCCACTATTGCTGAGAGGGTCTATGTCCCCCAGGGTACTGCCGGAACGTACCCTGGTACTATCTAATATGCCGGACCGTACCTCGCCTACTCCACTAACGAGTCAGCGCGATCACTGTGTGAGTGGATGTCCGGACGCGTAGCCTGGAGGCTAGGCGACCGGTTCCGGACGCGTAGCCACTTCGTTTTAATTTTCAGCGTTATCTCAAGTAAACAAGGGTTAGGGTTAGGAACTGCCTGGCATTTAGGAAATCGAAGACTGTGCCCGGCTGCCGGGCATATAGCCACAGCGTATAATATAAATATAATAAATCTTATAATCACAATAATGCCGTATTCTAAATTAAAACATTTATTATTCGCCTACATTTATTTCAAAGTCACAACTGTTAGGTTAATTTATAAGTATAGCCAGTGTCTTGTGCTAGATTAGCTCAACCTCAGCCCTTTACTCGGAAGAATACTTGTTGGGCGTTAGGTCATGCAGCTAGTTAGTCGTGGTCAGAGTGGAGGTGTTAATCTGATTTAGCTTTGGTTCAGATGTCTGTTTCCAGAAATGACACTAGACATGTTGTGAAAATCCTTGTAAATAGAAAAAATAAATTTTCCGATCCAATAGCCATTGCCAATTAAAACTAGGCAAAACATCTTGAGTCGTTGTAAATGATGACTCATTGGCCAGGATCGAACAACATATCATAGAAATAAATTCTCACAGTACTTTTGGATCTGGCAAATCTCTAATGCAAGTAACAGAACCTAAATGATAAAATGTTAACTTGCAACAAAATATTACTTCTGGTGAAACTGTGCATGTTTTTTTATTGTAATTAGGTGGCACGAACAGAATACTGGTATATTAATATGCATTCTTGAAATATACTAGACAGTGTATTGCACACCAATCGCGTCACTAACAATGGGCATTTTCAGGTCAAGCAGTTGCTTAAGCAATGTTCTGCCGTAGCTACATGTCACGTAAGAGCCTTTCACTGTGCAACCCAGTTGCACCGACCGCTAGTGCCCATAGTGATTGAGCAAACAGGACGGGGTGAGCGAGCTTATGACATCTACTCCAGACTGCTCAAGGAACGAATCATCTGCATTATGGGCCCGGTAGGTTTTATTTGCAGAGCAGCCAGCAACAGAACTAAATATACCCCCAGGGGTAGAAATTAACTTTTGAACAAAGGAGTCCATTAAACTCTCTGCCCTCAAAAAGAGGGAGTCCACAGCAAAATGAGGGAGTCCGTAGTCTGAAGTTCAAAATTAAAGATTTGCTGAAAAAATTCTGTAATTTTCGTGAGCCCGTGCTCTGGAATGAAGTAGTTGGTGTAGCAGAATTTTTAGGGAGTCGCACGGACTCCTGTATATGTCAAATTAGGGAGTCCAACAGTAAATCAGGGAGTATTTGACTCCGGACTCGCGTTCATTTTGCACCCTGTACCCCTGTTGTCTATGCGGTGTAATATCGACGTGACAAATGCAGTACTTTCTGTTTCCAGATTTCAGATGAAATGTCCAGTTTAGTAGTTGCTCAGCTGTTGTTTCTACAGTCCGAAAGTAACAAGAAGCCTGTTCATCTTTATATCAACAGTCCAGGTGAGAATATCTAAGATTCTATAGCCAGAGGGTATCTAACAAGAAATCAGAATTTATAGTGAATGCATGCTAACTTAAGAATCAGAAATGTGTATGTCGTTGTTGACTAAATTTACTAGGTAGTAAGATAACCTTGATAAAAAAAAACTGCAGCTCGCCAATTACTTTCAACTACTGTTTAGACATTACTGCCTTGCTTCGGAAGTGTTCACACCAGATTACTTTTCTAGGTGGAGTGGTGACAGCGGGGCTAGGGATATATGACACGATGCAGTACATCATGCCACCTATAAATACATGGTGTGTCGGACAAGCCTGTAGCATGGCGTCATTACTGCTCAGTGCTGGTACGCCAGGCATGCGACACTCTTTGCCAAACTCCCGGATCATGATTCATCAGCCCTCTGGACATGCAATGGTAAGGGGATTTAAGCTGGGTTTACACTACCAACTTTTTGCTGGAAAGTTGATGAGCTGATAAACGTTTCTACTACTCGACCGAAAGTCGGCAGTCTGAGCTTAAAATTTGAGGGAAATGCTATCCCCCGGTCGTGGAGGGACAGTACCGCAACGTGGCAGCACTAGTGTTAGGATTAGGGTTAGGATTAGGGTTAGGGTTAGAGTTAGAGTTTTTGCATCATGATATCTGTCCCCACACCATAGATTAATTTTTGTGGATGACACCCCTATATATAGATATCCGATATATAGATATTTAGTGTTATGGTTACTGTTAAGTTTGGAAGTATACGTCAACTGTATCACGTGTCCATCCCTCCACGCCTGGGGGATAGCAACACCCAAAATTTGAGCGCTCAACAAGCTGATAGGGACTAGTTGAGAAAGTATAGACCATGTTCTATTTTCTCAACCTTTGGTCAGCGAGTTGATCAAGTTTTCGCGACTCAGCCACTCTGATAATAGCATTCATGAGGTGTGTGCCTCCACCCAGGGGGAGAGCACATTTTTGCTATCGGTGCCACATTGGCGCGAATTAATATGTGCAAAAATTCGTATCCACGTCGCCCCGCGCGCACACCAAGGCTTAAATGTTGAAACGTTTGCCGACTCGTGGTCGATAATGTAAAAACTTTGAACATCTAATAGAGAGGTTGATAGAACGTTGAAAAAATAATTATCTCGTCAATTTTTCCAGTGTAAACCAAACCCAGCTTTACTCACTGGTTGTATTTCGTGAAAGTTGTGCGACTCATAGTTAACTGATTTAGAATTTTAAAAGTAATTAGTAATTTTTTCAATATGTCTGCAGTGCATCTATCTGTCATTTTTCAACTTTAGGTATTATTAATACTGACAACTGTGATTTTTTTTATAGGGCCAGGCTACTGATATCATGATCCATGCAGAGGAGATTCTGAAGTTGAAAAATGGGCTTAACAAGATGTATGCCAGACACTCAGGGCAACCTATAGAAATAATAGGTATTCCACAGTGTGACCTAGCTGACTAAACTTAAAGGATTTATTTCGAAATCATTGCTCAGAAATGCACAATCTGAAAAAAATATAGTGAAACGTAGTCTCACCTCTTAGCAGAGAATATTACTGACTAGCGGGATACCCGGCATTGCCCGGGGAAATCAGTGGCGTTACTGAGGTGTACGCTTGGTTGAAATGAAAATACCCAAAAAATCTAACTATCTATCTATCCATGCATTCATCCATCCCATTCCATCCCATTCCATCCCATTCCATCCCATGCCATCCCATGTAATCCCATCCCATCCCATCCCATCCCATCCCAAACAGTAAAAAATAATAAGAAATCAAAAGACAAAAGACATTAAAAATAAAAATAATTAATAAATTACAAAAATAATTAATTAAATAAATTTAAATTAAATTAAAAATTAAAAATAATACATACTAAAGAGGTATGTAAAGGGAAGAAAGGGGCAAATTAGTTCCCCATCTGGGACTCGAACCCGGAATCCCAGTGTAGGAGACGGATGTTCTAGCGATTAGGTCACTGCGCCGTTAAGCGCCGTGGATTCACACGTACGTGATGTTAATCTGTACGCACCGCCATCTATTGATGAATATAATTTTTATCAATTTTTAACTTTTTAAAATTTTTGTTTCCGCCAGAACCACCTCACAGACGTGCCGATTCTGAAAATATCTTTAGTTTTCCTCTAGGCTGTGGAGTTCTCTAGTTATGCGAGTACGGACTAATTCGGCTGAACAACTTTATATATATAGATTAGTGATTATACTAACTTGAAAAACACTAAGAATTTATGCTGTCATAGCATAGAAAATCGGAATTGAACACGCCGTAACACCATGGCATATTTGATTATAGCGACAATAAATTTGCAAATGGCATCTTAGTGCACCAATAAGTTACAAGTGCACCCATTGTGCACCAAATTCAAACAAAAGGACATCGGATTCTGTGTAATTGACTCTATTTTTATTTTGAAATTGGCCAATATCTCGCACTATTGCGAGATAGTCCAATTCATAAGAAATGGCGGCAGTAATCAAATAGCGTAATCAAAACTAGAATCGTGCACGTTTTGGTGAATATAGCCAAGTACGAAGGTTCTAAGACATGTTAGCGTTACTCTAGAGTCAAGACAGTTTCTGTTACTCAAGCAATAATGGCAAGTGTCGTAAAAGTGGAGAAAACACGAGACTGGTTGCAGTTACGTTTGAAATAAAGGCTTTAAAATTGTTGTATACGGCATGCCTAACTAATTATATTTTTTTTACATATGCGTTTTTAGCTCATCTGACGTAGTCAGATGCAGCTTGTAGAATCGCATGATCGTCCGTCCGTCCGTCCGTCAACAGTTGGGCATAAATCTTAACCGCTCGACGTACGGTCACGATATTCGGCACATCGGGCGGGATCGTCAAAACGAGTTGAGATGTCGAAGCTGGGGGTCAAAGGTCAAAGGTCAAAGGTCAAGAGGTGTAAAAGAAGGGGGAACATTCACTCCTTAACTTAAGGTATAGGGAGGAAATGCAGAATTGCGGCACAAATCTAAACTGCTCGACCTAGGCTCGTGATAGTCGGTGTATAGCATCATGGTAGGAAAAGCCATCACTGTGCCAAAATTGGAGGTCCAGGTCAAAGGTCAATGGGCACAGGGCAGATTTTAGACATTTTCTGAGGACATGGTCTGGCGGAGCGATTGAAAAACTTTTTTGTTTCAGCGGTGACCTAGCATTTTTATGGCTTTATTGAAAGGACCATGAAATGTACTTTCCGCTGACATGCAAAGAGTAAGTGTCCGGATAACCTTTTGACCTCAAGAGGAGGGTTAAACATGGATTTGTTTCTCTCAACTGCGTTGGCGAGTACCTGTGGGTGTGGAAGCTCCCATTTTACAGTGAAATTCCACACATAACTCTTTACTTGAACAACGCTTACTTAGGAGATAATGACATGACTTATATATAGATTCTGTAGTGTACATAGTTGGAATACAGTAACTAGCACTCAATATAATTACCCAGGAGTGAGGCTGCGGATTTCCCAGACTTAATTTTCTCATCAATTTTGGCACCAATATAGACGCAAGGTGTACGTTCTTGAGCTTATTCGGTCCACTAATCACTGGCGCTACCTTGTACTGAAATTAGTTTAGAGATATTTGCTATCGTATTGCTGTAAATTGTAATCTTGCACGAGCTGCTCTGGCCTCTGTTGTATCAACCATTAAGCTATTTTTAACGAGCCAGATGTGCCTCGCAAGAGGTTCAAGTACCTTTTACCTGACACCATAGAACAGCACGTTATTGTATAGTAATAATATGGTAATTATTCGCCTCCTGCTTTTTGCAATTCGTCGTCATCAGCTGACAGCTGGCATTGCTGCAATGCTTTTGCTGACGTGCAACGATGCCTTTGATAGCGGCCCGCCATCTATCGGAATTTTATTACACTAGTTTGAAGTGTTGTTTTTTTTGGGTTAGAAATGAACGTATGTATAGGACGTCTTGCTATGCACAAATGAATTTATCAGCAGAACACCAGACACCAGATGAGCCCTGTTGCTCTGCGGCACTTGTTGTAAAAATGTTCTTCAGTTGTGCATTCCTTGAATAGGCTATATTGGAATTGATTGTAATGTGCATATCTTTACAGAAGTAGCAATGGAGAGAGACAGGTTCATGAGTGCACAAGATGCTAAAGAGTTTGGACTGATTGATAAAGTCTTGGAGCACCCACCGTTAGAAAATGGAGACAAATGAAAGTCATGTAATATTAGGTTTGACGTGTCACCGGTATTTGAATACGTAAGATAGTGGGTTCGATTTTGAAGAACATTTGTCTGGTGTATTTATTTTTGCTAAGGCACTCGGGTACTATACAGAGTGAGTGTAGCGCAGGTGAGTGCAGCAATGTATTTGAACACCAGGTAGCAGTGTAGTGGTTATCTCACAATTGGCAGTTCAGTCATTCACCGCTGCGAAAATAGGAGACGTGCACATGTCAGTACCACAGTCGTGCATTTATGTTCCTGTGGGATATGTAAGGGTTTAATGGTATATAAATGCGTTTCTGTGCCGACAAGACCCAGGGCCGATATTCTACATAGTATCACTATGTAATAAATATTGTTATTATATCCACATCATAATACAGTATTACTGTAAATTAAATCAAATGCATTACTATGTTGTAAGGCAACCAGTTGGATCCACGATATACGTACTTTAACAAATGACAGCTACTGATAACCATGTTTACATTTACACATGGATTATCTCATAATAAATTGTTGTTTATTGTTTTCTAGACGTCTTGTTTTCTGTCTTGACTATATACAAAAATCACATAAAAGCACACGTGTGGCCTATGAATATTAGCACAATTGTTCCTGCTAGCATGGTCCCAAGCATACTGAAGAGTGTTTGTGCCAACTCCAACAACGACGCTGACACCGACATTCTGTTGGAGGATGGACTTGTTGGCAAACCGCCAATCACTCGAAACCTTGCAGCGAGTCCACAACTTTTTTACTCATGATCTGCACTTCTTCGTCGCTCATCAGTTCTGATCGGCAGATCGCGTTGCTGATGGCAATAGTCTCTCTCACTGTGTGACAGTGAAGCCAGATGCGTCCGTTCATCCCAATGGCAACCTCGTATTGTATGGCCTTTCCCAGGAATGTTAGAACATTGAACTTATTTCTTAGAAGCCTGGAACATAGCATGGAAAAAATGCAAACATTGACATCGGATGCGCAAATACATGTACGTGTGTGTGCATGTGGCGCATGTGAGTGGGAATGTGTTTTTCGGTGTGTATTGGGTCATTAAAACAACTTGTTAAAAAGCAACCTCATGGTCAAACAGTCCCATTGATTATCACTTGCATATATATACTAAAATATTCCTGAATGTATACAACTAAGTTGACTCACTGTCTCACAAGGCCAATACTGCATTGGAGAAGGAATCCCTCGTTCGGCAGAATTCCTAGTCCAGAACTTCTACCATAGCTGTCGATGCAGACCAACTCTGGCTCACAGTCCTTATTGGCCACCAACAACTTTGCATTTACACAATCGCCAACCTAAGGTTTCAAGGGGAGAAATAACGTATAAGTCACTGTAAACATGATTGCTAATCGATAAGACATCTATCAAATTTCATCAGCAAAGTGACTATTCTGAGGCAAACTCACATTCAAGTTGGGTCTGTTGCGCTTCGTTGCAGCTTCGAAGGCCATGAAAGATAACGATGCTGGTTCACTGCTGCCGATGTCCACTTTAAAAACGTCTCCTTGTTTGGCTGTAACAATGCCAATCACATTGTCTCCTCTTGCTGGAACATACTGAAAAGCACACACAAACACACGATTAAGATGAAATTCACGAAGATGTACCACGGTTCTTGTCAGGCCTTTAACGCATGCCTGGTCCAACATGCCTTCAAATCTGTAGCTAATTTGTGATATTGCATAACCAATCACATATAATAATTAACTGTTCCAACATGCTTTAATTGCCTAGTCGACATGCCTTAATTTCCAGCTATTTGCTTTTGACAATCTTAATACAGTCATGCTGTGGTTTCACAGCTTGATGTATAGCTCTCCAAACTAATTGAGTTTTTACACATAATTATTAGATTCTTATTAGCGAATGGGGATGAATTGCTCAATTGGTGAATTGTCCGACATGGCCTCTAAAATCCTGAGGAAGAACCCTGTCTCTGTGTATCATACTACACAAATATATAAAAGTGTAGAAGAGCATATTTAAAGCCATAGCTTGTATAATTACATATACTAGTTTTTTGATAGCATTTTACTTTTTTAGGCCTAAATTTTGTACTGATTGTTTTTGCACGAATCATGTCACTGAGCCTGTACTGTACTCTGTAGTCTGTACTGTAGTCGAGTACTCTAACATTAATATCATTTATTAGAAATAAAATTCATTTTCTTGTAATAAATATAATATAATTTCACAGTATCAGTAGTAGAACTTGTATTGCATCAAATTCATCAACAAATTCAAATTCAAAATCAATGCTCAAAATCAAGATCAACAAGGCATTGCAGCAAGCGAAGCGGTTTACCCTTTTTTGGTGGCAATCAACCCAAAATACACTGGGTTCTCTATGCCTGAGAATTCCACTTTTTGTCACAGCTATATGAGAACCATCGCGTATGAGACCTGGGCCTACTGTTACTTTAATTTTCCCTTTTTTCTCATCCAAATTCTGTAATATGTCACCAGGAATAACAACTTTCCCTATCGAGTCTTCCATGCTGGTACGCTGGTGCTGCCACCTCTAAACATAAACTTCCGGTCGTCCTTCATCACCATCCGGTATTGCCATTTTTGGTTGTTCGTGTGTTAGTGGTGGTCTCGTCGTTTGCTCCGTTGTTTAAATCAAAAATTAACACAATGTCGTGATATTTAAGTCGCCGGACAAGCAAATGTGACAAAACGAAAGACAATATCTGTCGTAAAATGGCCGGGACTTCGTCGCTCGAAGATCTCGCGTCGTTCAGCGATGCCGAAGCCGATAGCGATGTCGAGTCGGACGGGTCCGACGAGGCGACCAAGATCCTCGGAGACATGCTCGGCGAGTTGGAAACACTGCAAATGGAACTGGGCGAGGAGCAGGGATACAGTCAGTCGTTGAAGTCCGCCGAACCGTCAGATCTTCGGGACCGATCTTCCGCGCCGGGGAAAGCGGCGGACGGTCGCCGTGCGGAGCCGCCTCTGGAGACCTACCGCAAGTCGAAGTCGCACGACGACTCGGCGCTGGACCTCGACGAGCTGCTAGGTGAGCTGTGCATGCTCGAGAACGTGCTCTCGCGTAACAGCGTACTCGACCTCTCGAAACTCTCCTGCGACGACACCCCGCCACTCGCCGCAGCGCCGCCGCCGCCGCGTAAACCGGCCGCCGAGCCGCAGCAGCAGCACGATCCCGCGGGCCATGCAGCGAGCAACGCCACGCGCGAGGCGCCCCCTGCTGGCTCCCCTCCCCCACCGGCAACGGACGACGCCGACAACGACTCGGCGTTCTGCGACTACGAGTCGCTTCCGTCGTCCGAGTCGTGCACGTCGACGGCGCAGCGCGACGAGCCCATCGCCACAGCAACAACAACAACAACAACAACAACGCCCGCCGCACTGCCGCTGTCCGACGAGGAGGTAAAGGCGCAGCGCATCCGCGTCGCCCTCGACAAGATCCGTGAGGCGAACGTTCGCAAGCTATACGTTAAAGTGTTTGCGGTCGACGGCAGCACGAAGAGCCTGCTCGTCGACGAGCGACAGTGCGCGGGCGAGGTGTGCGCGATCCTCGCCGACAAGTTCCACGTGCCGCTGACGCCGCGCTGGTGCCTTGTCGAGGTGCTGCCGCCGCTGCACGTTGAGCGCACGTATGAGGACCATGAGTCGGTCGTGCGCAACCTCGTGCGCTGGCCGCGCTCTGCCGCCGCCACGCACCGGCTCGTCTTCGCCGAGCGCGACGACAAGTACGATCTGTTTGCGAACCCACAGCGCTACCTCCTGACGGCGAGCTCGTCCGAGCTCGGCCGCGAGATGAGCGACGCGAAGAAACGGAGACTCGTCGAGGAGTTCTTTGGCGGCAGCGGCGGAGAGCCGCGCGTCCCCGACGCCGACGGCACCCTGCACTTGAAGGTCGACGGTAAGAAGGCGTGGAAGCGGCACCACTTTGTGCTGCGCGCGTCAGGGCTCTACTACGTGCCGAAGGGCAAGGCGAACAACCTGAAACACCTCGTGTGCCTCGCGAAACTCGACTCGCTCGACGTGTACGGCTCGCTCGACTGGCGGAAGAAGTACCGCGCGCCGACCGAGTTCGGATTCGCGCTCAAGCACCCGCAGATCATGAAGGCCGGCAAGCACGTGAAGTACCTGTGCGCGGACGATGAGCGAGCGCGCGCGCGGTGGATGATGGCGATACGCGTCGCCAAGTTCGGACGCCAGCTCCATGACAACTGGCAGCGGCTGCAGCGGACGATCGCGAGCGACGCCGCGGAGGCGTGGTCGGGCGGCGACGGCGGCAGCACGTTCCTGCCGAGTTTGAACGGCAGCAGCAGCAGCGGATCACTGCCCGGTATCAACGTCGTTGGACTGAGGTAAGTCACGCCGGCGGCTCTGACACTGAAGGAATGCATGTGGCGGCATTTTACTTGCCTGGTACTCCGGTGTGCTTGTCATGCGCACAGGCACTTGGAAGTCTCAATAAAAAAAAAAAAAGGTAAATGAACACGAAATGTATTTACTACCAAAGTCTTAATGTTTCTCTACTCTATTTCGCCTATAATCACCTGTAAATGCCGGTCAAATGCTCATCTGCAACACACAAGTACACCGCACGCTAGCTGCTGCCCACTGACACATAAATATATAGCAGGTAGGAAAGCGTGCTGCCAAAATTTGCTCGACGCTCGCTTGATTTCAATTTTCATACGAATACAACACAAATATTCAACCATCCTACTCCATCTTTGTTTCTATTTGAAGAACAGTGTTCACTTGTTATAAAAACATACTGCAGCTAGCGTACGGCGGCCAGCGTGTGACAGTGTGTTGCAGATGAGCATTTGGACGGCATTTACAGGAAATTGTCGGCAATCTTTGGTAGTAAATAGATTTCGTATATTAATTTAGCATTATATTTTATTGAAACGATCCAAGTGCCTGTGGTCCCGCGTTGCCAATGAATGAGCATGTGGCGGCGTTTGAAGGGATAGTAGACTCTAGGATTTTACTGCATACAACTGTACTTACTGTATAACAAATCGTCTATACCCACACACAGTTTGTTACCAGATACCTAATTTGATTGTTATAATGAATAACACATCAACGCTTCGAAATTTGAACGGCGCCATGACACCCGCGACCGTGCTGCCACCCTGAAAAAGTTGCGTATTTGCCAATTTATTTTGCACGTTACAGACCAAGGGCTAATCACAAAGGTGCAATTATATTCATACCTAAACGCTATTTAAACCGAACGATGTTCAGTTTTAGGACAAATTTATCCCATAATATAACTGAAACTATATGTCGTTTATAAGATATTACAAGATCTTTTGGCTATTAAATTAAATAAATAAGAAACACCCTCGTCTGTAGCCGCTTGCGCTGAAAAGGGTTTGCGCAACTTATGCAAGATCGTGCGCTTTGAGTGCCGCCAGCGTCGTTGTAAATAAGACTGTAGTCGTTAGTTTTAAAAACATTTTTAAATATATTTCTAATGGTGATTGAACCATGAAAACATTTTTATGTAGGCGTAAATTTTTAACGCATAAAAATAACTGAAAACAACCCTAGAACCTAGAGTAAACGAACCCTTTAACTTGCTGTACTCCTCGCCATGTGCTTGTCCTGGCGGTTGCCAACATACGGCGCATGGAGGCATTTTACCTTGCTTTGTTCTCCCCACGCGCTTCATGGCGTGCGCTAACGAAGACGCACATGAGGCGTCTATCTTGATATGTTTAGTGTATTCGGTAGATTTAAATATGACAAAATTGTCGTAAATGCAACAGTTGCTGGTAACGCAGTGGCAGATGACGTCCTGATGACAGAATTTCGCTAACGCGGTTTTCCCAGATCGGCGATTCGGCATTTAAAACAGGTGTTTAATATGTCAATCAGAAGCCGGCAAGCAGGGATTGTCAGTGAAAATTCAGTTTGCGGTATATCTTACTTTAGGCTTGTTACGTCCTTTGTATATTTATGAGATGTACCAGGCTGTGAGATGACAGGGCATGGAACTGCTCAGTGTGATCTCAACTTTTTTGCGCTACTCATATCTCTCAATGATGCCTTCAAGCTCATATGCGTATAATTCAGTAGAGAAGACCTCTCGTCTGGCAGAACGCTCGATCGGCAAACTCGCGCAGAGCAGCGCCTCAGCGCGCTGCTCGTCCGCAGAGCTCGGCTCAGAACAGCATGACGCTACAAGGGCGCCACCTGGTGGGCGCCGCCCCTGGCGGAGGACATAGTGCCCGGCAGGCTGGCCCACCGGCCGCAGGACGGCGGCAAATAAGCGGCGAGGAGAAGGCGAGGCCGGAACCGTACGTCGACGCGGCCGCAAGCTCGGCGGGGTGGCGCCCCGTGTGGTGATGGATGAGGCGCACAGCCTTGCCTGCGCCGGCGCGCTCCAAGCGCACCCGGCGCCTTCGTCTCTGCGCACCATCGACAGCAGCCGCGGGCGGCGAGTCGGGCTGCCGCGCACCGCCGCACCACGACCGCCCGTGACGCGCAACGCAGCAGTCAAGAAGACACGCAATCCTAACGTTGTAGCCGACGACGAAGATGCTCGCCGGGCCCACGGCCGACGTGCCGTCTTCGCGCGCGAGGCAGCCTCTCGAAGCCGCCGCGGCGCCGGAAATGTGGCGCAATAGCCAAGCTGCGCCGAGGCGGACGCGGTCAACTTCGCCGCTCGCGGCGCAGACTCCGCTCGTGACGTGCGGGTCGCCCGGGGGCGGGCCGCCACCCCGCCGCCCGTCGCGAGGACTTCCGTCGGCAGACCGGCCGCGCGTTCGCCGCGGCCGCACTGCCTGCCGCCGCCGGGCCCGCATTGTCGCGTGGACGCAACCGAAGGTCGCGGTCGTCGCCGCAGGCACCGCGTGTCACGGACGAGGCGCTCGCTCGTCTGCCCGTCATCGCGAAGAGGCTCGAGAAGATGGCCGCCACCAGGGCGGCGCCGTACTACGTCGGGCAGGTGCGGCCGCTCGTTCAGCCCACGGAGCGTGTCCGGCGGTGGAGGCAACAATGGCAGCAGGCAGGCAGCAGCAGCAGCAAGAGGAGCAACAGTGCAAGCAGCAGCAGTTGGAACAGCAGCGACAGCAGCGGCACCAACAGCAACTAGAGGAAGAACAACGGCTGCATCAGCAGTGGCACCAACAGCAACTGGAACAGGAGAAACAGCAACAGCAGCAACTAGAGCAACAGCAACGGCAGCAGCAGCAGCAGCGCCAACAGCAACTGGAAGAGGAACAACGGCTGCATCAGCAGTGGCACCAACAGCAATTAGAAGAAGAGCAGCAGCAACGGCAGCAGCAGCAGTGGCACCAGCAGCAACTAGAGCAGCAGCAACAACAACAACCACAGCAGCAGCTTCGGCTGTCGTCGCTCGAATCCCCGCAACCTCTCCATCAGTCCCAACCGCCGACGTTCCTCCCTCCCGCTCAACCGCCACAGCCGAAGAGACAGAAGCCTCCTCCGCCCAAGCGCAGCAACAGCACGCGCCTCAGTGTCGACCTCTCGCAGCAGCAGCAGCAGCAACTGCAACTGCAGCAACAGCAGCAGCAACCGCAACAGCAGCAGCAACAACAACTGCAGCAGCAGCAGCAACCGCAGCAGCAGCAGCAGCAACAACACCAGCAGCCGCAGCAGCCGCAAAGGTCGCGACCTGAACGCGCCGTCTCCGCGCACGGGACGCTGCCGAATGCCTTCTTCAAGGATCTGGAGCGAGTGATGAGCGTTAAGCAGCAGCGCGCCTCGGTGGGCGTATTCAGCGTGCCCGACGACAAGGGCGAGCCCCCGTCGCCGGTGGTGCCCCCTGCCGGCGCGGCCCGCGGCCACGAGCACGTCGACGACCTGCCGCCGCCGCCGCCCGAGCTGCTGGAGGAGTTCCATTCGTCGCCACTGCGGGGCGCCGCCGTCGCGACGCAGCCGCACCTCGTCGCACCGCGACCCGGCGGCCGCAGGTCGCCGAACCCCGGCCACCAGGTGGCGCCGGCGCAGATCGTCGTCCAGCGGAGGGCGCCGTCACCGAGGAGCGACGGACCGGTGGCTGAGATTGCTACCTCCGCGGCAGCGGGGCGACCCCGCGTGACCTCGACCGCAGAGCTGACCGTCGGGGGGTCGTCGCCGGAGCCGGCCCCCTCCCCCACGAGGTCGCGGCCACAGACTCCGCCGAAGCCCCGCCCACCGGTCGCGAAAAAGCCCCCCGCGCAGCACCGATCGTCGGGGGAGGTAGTGGCCGGCGCGGAGGGCGGGCGGGTGAAGCCAGCCGTTGCCGCGAAGCACCAGCATCCGCCGCCTCTCGTTGCCGAGAAACCCCAGCATCCGCCGCCCATCGCCGACAAGCCAAAGCTGAGGCCGAAGCCGCCGCCAAAACCTCCCGCGAAACCTCAGGCGCTGTGAAGCGCCCGCCCGCATGCAGCGAAACCCTTTCTACTAGCGAACGAAGCCCCCCCCCCCGATATGACGAAGCATCGGGTGCAGCGATACACCCCCGGGTTCCTGCGAAGACCCAGGCACTGTGAAGGCCGAAGTGCTGTGAAGTCCAAAGTACTGTGAAGGTCTTGGTATTGTGAAGTATAAGGTACTGTAACAGCCCTTGTATGGTGAAGTCTCCAAAGTATTGTGAAGATCTTGGTACTATGGAGCATAAGGTACGGTGACGCGCGGTGCATAGTGAAGTCCAAAGTACTGTTGAGTTCTTGGTACTGTGAAACATCAGGTACTGTGAAGGCCCACACACAATGAAGTGAACGGCCTGGGTACTTAGAAGCCGCGGTATAGCAAGCATTTGGATGCGCAGCAGACGATGCAGAGAGAGGGTGCGCAGGATGGCCGGATGCTGTTGTAGAGTGACGTTGTGGGTTGGTGTGTGCGTGGGGGGGGGGGGGTTGTGCCCGGGACGGGGTTTTGCAGTGAGCGTGGCGTGCGCATAGTGTTTGCCTCGCTCATATAGAACGTGTTTTTAAGTAATATATACAATTGTGTGTTTGTTCGAGTCTTAAAAACTGTAGTCGTTAGTTTTAAAACATTTTTTAATAATATTTCTAATGGTGATTGAACCATGAAACTTTTTATGTAGCGTAATTTTAACATAAAAATAACTGAAAACAACCCTAGAACCTAGAGTAAACGAACCCTTTAACTTGCTTGGTACTCTCCCATGTGCTTGTCCTGCGTTGCCAACATACGCGCATGGAGGCATTTTACTTGCTTTGTTCTCCCACGCGCTTCATGCGTCGCTAACAGACGCACATGGAGGCGTCTATCTGATATGTTTAGTGTATTCGGTAGATAAATATGAAAATTGCGTAAATGCAAAGTTGCTGTAACCAGTGCAGATGACGTCTGACGACGAATTTCGCTAACGCGGTTTTTCCCGATGGCGATTCGCATTTAAAACGTGTTTAAATGTCATCAGAAGCCGGCACAGGATTTCAGTGAAAATTCAGTTTCGGTATATTCTTACTTTAGGCTTGTACGTCTTGTATATTATGAGATTACCAGGCTGTGAGACTGACAGGCATGGAACTGCTCAGTGTGACTCAACTTTTTGCGCTACATCATATCTCTCCTGATGCCTTCACTCATATGCGTATGATATTCAGTAGAGAAACCTCTCGTCTTGCAGAACGCCGATCGCAAACTCGCAGAGCAGCCTCAGCCGCTGCTCGTCCCAGAGCTCCCAGAACAGCATGACGCTACAGCGCCACCTGGTGGGGCCGCCCCTGGCGGAGGACATAGTCCGGCAGGTGGCGCCACGGCCGCAGGAGGCGGCAATGAAGCGCGAGGAGAAGGCGAGGCCGGACGTCGTCGACCGGCGCAGCTCGGCGGTGGCGCCCCCTGTGGTGATGGAGAGCGCACAGCTGCTGGCGCAGGCGGCGCTTCACCGGCGCTCGTCTCTGCGCAGCCTCGACAGCAGCGCGGGCAGCGAGTCGGGCGCCGCCACCGCCACGCACGACCGCCCGCTGACGCGCAACGGCAGCAGCAGCAGTGGCACCAACAACAACTAGAGCAGCAGCAACAACAACAACCACAGCAGCAGCTTCGGCTGTCGTCGCTCGAATCCCCGCAACCTCTCCATCAGTCCCAACCGCCGACGTTCCTCCCTCCCGCTCAACCGCC